TTTATAAAAATGAATTTTGTTTCTAAAACTCGTGTGGGATGTGAGATAGATCGTCATCTTCTTTCATCTTGTCCCCCCCCCTAGAGGGGTTGCTTTTAGGGAACCTCGTTTTGATGTTTTTGGTGGAGTTAGCTCTTGACGTCATTTCCAAGATGGCCGATCCAGGCAGACAAGACGATGAAGAAAATGGCACAAACTCACTGCCTATGCCAGACCTAGAAACGCAAAAGAATGAAATAGGAGAACTTTTGAAAACYCCYTTAAAGAAAGGAGACACGTGGTAAGGTTTTGCTGCACGAAGAAGTGTTTTAGACAACTTTGAAATGACAGCCATACCGGCGAAATCTCCTATCACGGAAGTGGACTTTTCATGTCAGTAAGAAAAAAACTTRGAATAYCTCGCAGAATYTCTCTTTGCTGTGTTCAATGAAAAAGTTAGAACTTAACTTAAGTGCGCCAAAATTGATTATGTGGAAGTGTWGCTTTAGGGACGAGTASAAAACAACTGTAGCTATCKCTTGTGACTCCCAARCGTAAAGGCYGTAAAAGGACASATTTGTTGATGAATGGAAAATTGTTCATTTGTTTACTTTTACCAGTCAAGTGTTTTCTAAGGTAGCCAATGTATAACTTAGTTTAACGTATATTTTTACTCAAATGTATTAYGTACAGTTTAATTCTTGCATAGTCATGAGTCAGGTAATTTTTGGTAGCTATTTTTATGGATCTTTTGACATACATGGCTTTAATTTTAAGTGCTTTAAAGCCAATATAACATGAATAAACAGCCTGGAAGTGTTAATGAGTGAAGGTGGAAAAAGTTACACAACAACCTAAATATTTGATAAAAAAAAACGTTTATACATGTTTCTAGATTGGTTCCACATCTTTGAGCAATGGCATTTGAAATATTTCCTTTTGTTAGTTGTCATGGATTCTTATATTTTTAACGTAGTCTGTTTTTGTAATGGACTAGAATATTTGCAAAATATCCTAAAATAATAAAGTGAATAGAAGAGAACTGGTTGAAACATTTCTCTGTTGACGTTCTCTTTGTTATCAGGTAGTCTTATTATTGATATGTTTAAGGTACTTAATTGAATGCCACTGGCTGAAGCAATGGAAGAAGTTTGTTGGATTTGATAGCTGGGATGTGTATGGTGTTGGAGACCAAGTCAATAAYCCAGGACCACTAGACAATTCTAATCTCTTTAAAGGTACAGTTATGAAAGAATTTTTACCATAAACTGTGACAGGCAGCCCATGATAAACTTGTTCATACTTATATTGTGATGATAGATGATGATCCTAACTGGGCACTAAARGAACACCTTATTGATGAGCTCTACTATTACCTGGTACCTGAGGAAGCCTGGAATAAGTTAGTGTTATGGTATGGGATTGTAGAAMACCAGCCACCAATAGCCAGGAAGGTTGTGGAGTATGGAATGTACGTCAAGCACTGTAAGGTTGAAGTTTATCTAATTGAGTTCAAATTGTGTGAGAACTCTTCTATGGATAATATTGTCATACGGCAGTTTAGCAAGGCTGATACTTTAGGTAAATACTGCAAACTATTTTGAAAATGCTAAATAATTTATATGGTAATTCCTTTGTACCAACGTATGCCTCTTTGTCATGCAGTAATACAAAATATATTCATTGATAAATAGCTGGATAGCATTGTTACCAGTATTCAAATTGATCTGATAATGAACCAGTAAACCCGCTCATCATTCACCAAACCATTTTTATTGTTTGTTTGTTTGTTTTTAGTTTCGTTTTTTTTGTACTTATCTTGTCACAAACTTGTGTTTTTATCAGTTGATGCTGTGTGAACTTCTTGTTGACCAAATTCACCAAAAGGTCGCACAACAATGCAGAGARCCAATATATTKTTGTTCTGTTATATTTGACATTCATTCTTTTGGACTTTCAATGAARTCATTTTTATCGTTATTTCAGAACATATTGAAAATACTATGAAGGAGATTTTTAACATTCAAAAGGAAGCAGAGACAAGGTTATGGAATAAATACATGAGAAACAARTTTGAACTGCTTGGAAACAAGCAGCAGACTGTGCAAGATGTTGGCTTGTATCAAGGACAGGTGAATAACTTATTACATTTTGTGATCAAATATGTTTATTCTTTCCTGCAGATTTCAAACCACTATTGTGAGTATAATATCAAATTTGAATTATYAACTTTCRTAGATGTTGGTGATTGAACAAAAAAATGAAGATGGTTCATGGCAAAGAACCAACACAAAAAGGTATGCAATATTGGTCTAAGCTAGAACATGGAGAAATATCCTACAAATAGAAAACATACTAGATATAATAGTTGTCACAGCAATCTACTAATYGTATATTGATSAATGATGATAGTAATGAKTGATGATGATGATGACATGAATGAATGATGATAATGACAGGAATGATTGATAATGATGATAATATGATCATGTTAGGAGGGTAAATTGATATTCTTTTGAATAGTGAACAAAGCTAATTATATATTTCTGTTTACTTTTAGCTCCTATTCCTCATCAACTGTAAGTATTCTCATCATTTTTTGCATTTCGCAATATCTGTTGTACACTACAAGACATTATACTGTATTCTTAGATAACATCAAGTAGTGAGTCATCCACAAGTAGTTAYAGCTCATCCACTGGCTCTTTTGGGTAAGTGGAAAGTAATCAATAATAATTGATTGAATATTAATTAATYAATATCCAMTAATTAATTAATYAAATAWWTTTTTCCAATTAAAGTTATTGTCAACCAAGACTGCAATGCWTTATTTTTACAATTGAACGTGAAGTTTTGTRAACTTTTTGCAAGCTTATACWACAGGAGCTAGAATTARAAAATGGTTTAATGATATTTTTTTCAAAAATTGTCACTAACTTCTGTGACAATTTCAAAGATATAGGTCTGTAACCAATGTTGATTTTTGAAGGGACTCTGTGTAATATCATGCAAAGAATACATATTTATCACTATTTTCTCTATTATAAATGCAATTTTAGTGCATAGGTTTACTCAGATTTCATTAAAAGATGGTTCTTCCTTTTTTGTATTTTGTAGATCTTACTCTTATGGTTCAGGAAGCTACTGGAACATGTATGACAATGAAAAGAAGAAAATCAAACCAGGATTGACTGGACTTGGAAACCTAGGGAATACTTGTTTTATGAACTCAGGATTACAATGTTTGAGCAACACTATGAGACTTACAAAGTACTTTCTTTCTGACCAATACAAGGCAGAACTCAATTTTGATAATCCACTTGGAATGAGAGGAGAGATTGCAAAAGCCTTTGCTGATCTGCTTTCTCAACTTTGGTCAGGGCAATACTCATCTGTAGCTCCAAGGAGCTTTAAAATGCAAGTTGGAAGATTTGCACCACAATTTTCTGGATATCAACAGCAGGATTCCCATGAATTATTRGCATTTTTACTGGATGGGCTGCATGAGGATTTAAACAGGATTAAGAAGAAACCTTATATTGAAGTAGAAGATGCTAATGGCAGACCAGATGAAGTTAGT